TGCTAGGTTTGACTTCTGCCATGTCTATGCTACTGTATATCAGGCAACCTACTACAAATGTACAAGAACAACACTTACTGCACATAACACTGAATGAAAACGACCGGTAAAAAAAAAAAAACACCTATCCAAATCAAACAAAAAATCCACCCACCAATTTCTTTCATCAGTGTTTTAGTATGGGCTTTAAATTCTTGAAAATTAACGAGAAGTGTAAAACACCATGAAAAAATTTAAAGAATCAGAAACAGAAAGTTTCTCACAAACAATAAATCAAATGCACATGCTCACCACCTCCTCCCTACTGACCATCACAAGGTGCGATATATTCAATCTTTAGAAGCACAGTAGTGCACACTTGGAATGTAAATACAAAATAATTATATTCGACACATCCAGACACTTTCTGAACTCAATTTCATTCATGAAAATAGTGTTATTAAATACCGGTTATGGTATTGGAATTTGGAAATTTAAAATGTTTTAGATAATATACGATCTGGGCTGCCATACCTACCATGTGATCTGGGCTGTTCCAGGTGACGCTGTGTCAATGCCTGAGGTGCCGACGTTTCACCCAACATTCGCGGTCCTCTTCAGCGGCTGTACTGCGAACCACTGAAGAGGCGCATAGGTCCGTCAGCACTTTCAGGCATCGAAGCGGCGTCACCCAGACAGCTCAGATCATGACTCTGGCCGCGGAAGCCTACGACATCATTTAACACCTGCCATACGCTTTTAACAGAGCTTACTCGAGACAAAGTGCTTGTTCTTCAACATTTTCTTGTTTTTCTTCTTCTTCTTAGGTTTGAACACCACCTCTTTCAAATTTCTGTTCACCAATCTTCTCCAGGACTTCTGCTGGCGAGGCCTCTGTCAGCAACGCAAACTCTGGGAGGATTGTGAACTAAATTGGCGATGTCTATTGAACCACTTCTTTGTTAACTTTGGGTTCATCTCCAGACGATCCAGCTCCGTTGATACTTCCGCTCTCAAGGTCATCCAGAGTTAGATTTGGCCTGTGAAAAGAGGTTATACATTTACCTACTAGTCTGATAAATAAAAGTTTTGTCGTAATTTTGCCGTTTTCCAGTGTACAATTACAATATTTTCTTTCGTATGAGGAACGGATGAGAAAGTAAAATTAATCGTTTCTTATGATCTGCAAGGCATTCTGCATGAATAGTGCATGGAAAACAAGGAAAAACAAATGCTGGAGAATGCCATGAAGGAGAAGTCATAGAACGCAGTCCTAAATGTGCTTTTCATGAAACGCCCTGTGTAATAAATGGCAATTAAGGACCGTGGCTTCGAAAAATTAAACCACCTACCTCGGAGTCCAGACTTTAGCCTACCCAGCTCAACTGACTACTTTCTGTTCTAAAATCTCATAACACTTGTACGGATACCGATTTGTGCTCAAAGAACAAGTGGAAAGTGCTGTAAACGAAATATGTTTTTTTGAAAGACAGGAACAGAATTTTTAATTTTTCTGCCATATCCTCTTTAACTGAAAAGAGAAGGAAGTGTATTGAACTGGAAGGAAATTATATTGAAAAAGAAATAGTAGCACTTTCAATCTATCTACATAATTTCATACAAAGTAGAAAACTATCTAATGCCCCTCACATATTTCAGGAAGGGGTACCTCAAAATACAATATGTCATGTGAAAATCACCATCAAAAGACTCTGAACATCATGAGTTGTGGTTATACCAGAGCACAGAGATCCAGAGAGGAATTGGGGAGGGGAAAAATGTTTTCATCGAATATATTTACAGGATTTACAATTACGTATTACAGATTTTGCAAAAATGTCCCAGGCTACACTGAGATCATGCAGCAATACCATTTTATTCATTTTAAAGATAATTTTGCTTGAAAGTCTCGTGACAAGTTAATAGTAATAATTACTGAAAAATTTAGCGAGAAATTTCCCTAATTTCCCTCTCTGAGGATGCGCACCTCTTATACTCAGGATGTTAAATCGGGAAAAGCAAGTAGCAGCCATTACTCAAGAAGCAAATATCAGTTCTTCACTGAGAAACGCCTAGGAGTGAAATTTCAAAATGACACCTATGGAGCTGACCACGTTTGATCCTCTCAAAAAGACGTATTGATCGACTATTTTGGCAGGGTCTGTCTAAGAATATACTTTGAGGCTTTGGTTTCAAAATTTTAGTTTTTTAATCCCCTAAAACACTTTGTTTAAGAGGTATTTAATGATATAGAGTCAAAAATCTTGCCAAGTGTGTTGTGAGTAGCACTGGATATGAATATTAAGTTTTGTTCTACAGCCCCGTCTAGTGAATTTTTTGATATTTTAATAGTTATTTTGCTATTCGGGGTGGAGAAGAATCCAACAAATCAGAGATATTTAAAATTGTTTCAGCCGTCCTTCAGTTATAAACTATTACGACTTAGAGAAACAGAGAGGAGAGAGAGAGAGAGAGAGAGGGAGGAGAGAGAGGGGAGAGGAGAGAGAGAGAGGGGAGAGAGAGGGAGAGAGAGAGGGGAGAGAGAGAGGGAAGAGGGGAGAGAAAGAGGGAGAGACAGAGGGGAGAGAGGGGAGAGAGAGAGGGGAGAGAGAGGGAGAGAGAGAGAGAGAGAGAGAGAGAGAAGAGAGAGGGGAGAGAAGAAAGAGAGAGGTGCGAGAGAAAGAGGGGCGCGAGAGGGGAGAGAGGTGCGAGAGGGGAGAGAGGGGAGAGAGGTGGACGGCGGAGGGAGAGGGAGAGAGGTGCGAAGCGAGAGTGCGAGAGGTGGAGAGGAGAGAGGTGCGAGAGAGGTGAGAGAGGTGCGAGAGTGCGCAGAGGGTGCGAGAGGTGGAGAGAGCGGTGCACGAGAGGGAGAAGAGGTGCGAGACGCGGGCCGCAGAGGCGGTGGAGAAGAGGCTGGAGCCGAGAGAGGTCGAGCATAGTTGGAGAGGGGGTAGAGGGGCGAGAGGTGCGGGAGAGGCTTCGGCGAAGAGGGGAGAGAGGTCGAGAGGGTGAGAGAGGTGCGAGGAGAGGGAGAGAGGTGGCGGAGAGAGAGTGGCAGAGGGGAGATGAGGTGCGGAGAGGGTGCCGGGAGGTGCGAGAGAGGGGAGACGAGGTGGAGAGAGGGGCGAGAAGGAGGTAGCGCGAGAGTTCGGAGGGAGAGAGGGTGCGAGAGCGTGCAGAGCGCGAGAGGTGCGAGAGGGGAGGGAGGTGCGAGAG